CCCTGACATCTCACAAAATAAGAATGATTTATTTCCTTATATATGTATTTTTTTTATTTTTTCTTTTCCCGAGGCTCGATATTTTCCTCAGTTTAGGTTTAATTTTCTCCGATTTTTGGTAGTAGCTACATAGGGAATTCGTCGGCAACTACCGCGCGAGTAGCTGCTGCACGGCCCTCGAAGCTCCTATGTATGCGGTGGTGGACTACGACTCGGCGGGAGAGAGAAAGAGAGAGAGCTATACGCCCGGCCGTGGGTGCAACGAGGACGGAGCGCGTCCGCGAGGCGAGAGAGAGGCGAGTCCTCCGGAGAGTCGAGTCGGCTCGATTTTAGCCGGGATTTCCTATCGATATATATTTTCTTTTTTATCGGCGATAATTTTATATCCCTGCGATTCCCAAAATGCGTAAAGAACGAAATGCGAAAGAAATTTCTCTTCCGACACGAAGGGAGAAAAATCCAACAATGAGGGAAAAATTTCAATTTTGACAATTTTAGATGGTCTAGTGATTTTTTCTTGGTCATTTCGATAATGGCTTAACGCGAAGAGGATTTTCCCGGATTTTTTACGCCTATTGGACGCATCGAAGCCTCCCTCAGGAGAGAGAGAGAAAATGGATCGCCAATTGGAATTAGAGCACCCTAACCGCGAATCGATTGCACCCCTAATCGCCGATTCCGATTGGCCGGGATCAGAATTTCTGGCCGATCAGAATTTCCCCCGAATTCGGCCGAAAAAAGTATCTCTCGAGAGAGAGACGTCGATTAATCCCAAACCCCGAAATTTCATCCGGAAACGAAAGCGTTTCCCCAAAACGAGAATTTCATACCGAAATAACCCGTCGATGCGACATCGAAATAAATAAATACACATATATACATAAAATATGTATAAAAAAATTAATAAATAAATAAAGTCCACATATCAAGACTCGATAAAACGCTGAGAATAAAATGTCACTTTAATCCACCCGGAAAAGAAAATCGAAAAGAATTTCAGGATCCGCGTAAATTGTTTAAAAAAAAAATCCGAATCAAGACCACCCCGTAGAAAATGTCGAGAATTCCTTCCCCACCTGTTAAAAAATCGACCCGACGATTTGCGAGATATTTCACCGCATACATCGAACTGCGTGTGTAGACAAGAGATCGTAAATGTGAGTATGTATATATAAATATATGTATATATGTACAGACGCAAGTAGTTAATCTGGATATCTACGAGGTACAGAGGCTGAGAGAGAGATGTATATATCTATATATACATATATGTTATCCAAGGTGTCCCAAAAAACGAAAAAGAATTTCAAGCATATACCAGCACGTATTATCAAAATCGGCTAATTGGTTAGAAAAGTGATCGATAAGCGGTGAATCAGCGCAGGGCTCAAATCGGGCGATTAGCGACGCGGGGGTGGGATTTTCCATGGTCAACCATAAGGACATGTGCCATCTCTTTCTAATGAAATGAGGATCCTCGGGTGAAGGGATTAGCGCTAACAAGAGAGAAGTTGCGGATAGTTTCACCGTTCTACGCGAATTACGAGATATTTCAATATTCATCTTTCGATCTTTCACATTTTCACCTTTCGACTTCTCGACTTTTCACATTTTCATCTTTTCGACTTTTCACATTTTCACCTTTCGACTTCTCGACTTTTCACATTTTCACCTTTCGATTTCTGGATATTTCACATCCGCGGGAGACCAGGTTTCTCTGCACGGTTTAAAAAAAAAAAAGAGGAAAATTCTCAATAACTCTAGATATTATCCTCGATGTGAAATTAAACGCTCCCCGGAAAAGTGGGTTACACAGTCGATAGCATAATCGATATATGTCGAGTCGCGAAACCCGAATGGCAGATCAACGGAGAAGGAATCGGATGGCCTTCTTCGATAGGTCCTCGAAATGGATTCCAAGCCGATTCCACCCCGGACAAAACATCCGACCTCAACAATGGCGTAAACAGAAATTAAAAAAAAATAAAAAAAGAAAAACAACGCTAAACTCTTGCGAAGCGACAAATAAATCCAAGAACCGCCCCTTTGATTTATCGCCGCGTCAAGGCAACTCGTCGCACCTTTGCAAAAGTCTCTCAAGGTAAAAAAAAGAAGAAATACGAGGCCATAAATTAACAACAAATCCTAAAGAAAAATTCCACGAGTCAATTATCCGGGCGTACATGATATATGCAGAGAAACGTAAAGCCTTCCGCGGAAACTGGAATAAAAAAAATTTAACACTATTTCCACCACGACTTTTTTATCATTAATTTAAAATTTCGATTCCTAGCGATAAATGGTAACTTTAATTAGGGGAAAAAAAAATTGTTCAATAATTGAAATCTCCCCGCTATCCGGAGTCTTCCCTCTCTCGACCGTTTCTACCTCAGGGGCCGTCTCGGATCTAGCATTATGGGATTTGTCATGGGGTTAGAGGTCCACTTTGGTGGTTTTTTATGGGGTACCTGCGTCCACGCTCGCGCTTGTACTGGCCACCGTACTTGCACCTGTTCGCGGCGAGCTCCGTGATCTCTGGGATCCAGCTGGCGAACACCGCCTACACACCCACAATCATCCGTTGCCGTAAGATCAGTGCCCTAACCTCGACGAGGGTAATCGCGAGTCCGTCATTTGACGTCGCCAATTGCGCAAAAAAAAAAACAAAAACAAAGGGGGGAGGGAAATAAAAGAGAGAAAAAATTCCACCCCGAAATTCGGATCCAAACTCGGGGAGCAAAATCGACCTCGCTTGTTGAATAATTGTTTATAAATAACGTATGTTTATAAATTGGAAAAGTACCGTCCTAACCGATCAAGCCATAGCCCCAAACACCACTTTCAAAGGAGACACCCCATAAATGTTGATCGGTGAAGGATTTTCCTCTTGCTACTAAGGGCCCGACGTTTGGTCCAATATCGCCTGCCCGGTCAGAGGAATTTCGCCCGTATGTCGAAATGGCTCCGTGCTCGGAGGATTAATCGATGACTTGTATGGGATACGATAAAGAAGAAACACCTCGGGATCGAGATTTAACCGAGGTTTTCCTTCTACACTGCGGAAATAAAGATCCATTTAACCGAAGAAATATAGTATTTAACTTTTTGCCTGCTAAGAGCGCCTAGAGGCGCCCGACGTTCGGTCCAATATCGCCTGCACGGTCAGAGGAATCTCGCCCGTATGTCGAAACGGCTCCGTGTTCAAAGAGCTAAAGGTGACGCAAAATCGCAGTCGTGGATAAGAGATGATAACCGCGTCGAGGTGGACACGTAGGGTAACGAGTAATCGATAAATCGACGGCAGGTCTGCCCAGAATAATCGCAACGATTAATCGTTCCACTCGCACCCACCTCCGACAAATCGCCCTTCCCGCGGATTCCAAAATGTCCTCCCGCGTTAAAAATCGTCAACGATGACGTTGACGATCGTTAGTCACGTGCTCTCGCTCGCTCAACAATGTGTCGTTTGTATGTGCAAGTGTGTGCCGTGTGTACGGAGGGTATTGTCGATTGTGCGAAAACAATGGGATGGCAAAGAGACGAGAGACGACAGTCAACTGTTAATCGAAGAACGTAGGAAAAACCGGACGATAAATCGTAGCGACCGGTCATCGGAGTTATTTCGAGGACCTTCGACGACTGCCGTTATCGCTACGATTTATCGTCACGTTTGCGACCACTTTCGGACAAAGGCGAGACGAACAATGGGGAAAACTCTTGCGATCCCTCCCTTTCCCCGCGGTCGGAAGAAATTCGAGCATGCCGGAAGTCCTGCAGGAAGGACACGAGTTTCCTAAATCGACTTTTCGTCGACTCCCCTCCAAGGACTCGATGAAAAGTCGATTTAGGAAAATCCTCGCGTCCTCGCCAATCCTCCGCCATCTTCTCTGGTCCAAAATCGACACAAGGAAGCAGGAGAGAAAAGGGAAGAAAACAAAAGCAGACTAAATTGGCAGGACTCCCCCAGGACGACGCCGAATAAAAAGGACTTCCTCCTAACGATTCAACCTCCACGCAATGAAAAAAAAAAAAAAAAACAAATCCAGATACATAAAAGGTGAAGATAAAGATATCTTCAATCTCGTGGAATAAAATTCAATAATTAAAAATTAATTAATTAAATTTTGGAAGACGCTTAAATTTGCTTTATTTTTTTTTTATCCTTTTTATCCGGGGTCGAGAGAGGTCCAGGACATCGCGACGTCCTATCGACGTGGAAAGTCTAAAGAGGACATCGAGAAAGGGAGAGGGCCCAGGAAGGACACGTGCAGGACAGCAAAATAAAAGCACAGCCGCTTATTAGTCCTCGGGTTTGCAAAGCCTCCTTTTTATCCAGGATATCTCTTTGAGGTGCGTCGCCCGCCGAAAGGACCCTCTGCCATATTTCCCAGCACAGGATATCCTTTCGACAGCCGACCCTCGCAGGACTCTAACTCGCATTTCTCACCATTAAGGTGAAGTGAAACCCCCTTCAAATCAGCTGATTCGAATACAACCACTTTTTTTAAGGGTGTTAGACCAAACTGTCCGAAACTGACACATCTAAGAATTGTCCTGACACATCGAAATTGGATAAGATTTTTTAACTCGGCCCAGACCATAACCAAAATGGCGTGTTTCACTTCACCTTAAGGGGACACAAAAGTGCGACCTAAGGATCCTTTACAAAACACTCCTCCGAGCCAATTACCCTGTAATCTAATCAAACCTATCGTCATAAATACATGATATCATACAAATACATGTCTAAGGAATACCGAAAAAAAAGAAATTCAATACACCCAGTACGGAGGAGAGTTTCATAAACGAGACCTCCGATGGCACTTTGGGACCGCCTTAATCCGTTCCTCTCTCTCGAGAAAAAAAAAAGAAAAAAAAGTCGCAGAAAAATCCTGGATATCAGAATCCGAGAGACAAGGACAGACGGATGCAGCCAGCGAGGGAGGGAGAGAGAGAGAGAGACACGTGACGGTGACGTAGAGACATATGCACTGTAATACCTCTTTCCGTGTTCCCGCTTGTACTCGCCGCTGTACTTGGACCTACTGCCTACGAGCTCTATTATCTCTGGTATGCTACTAGCAAAAATTGCCTGGAAATAGAAATCATAACTGAGGAAAGGGGGAAATATGCCGAGCAACTACCCGCTATTCAGCTACTCTGCTCTGCTTGCGATTAATCCGGTGGAGCGTCCCGATTCGGGATATCAGCAAAAGGTGGAGGCGCTTCGGGGGGGGTTGCCCCTCCCCCGGATTCGCGGATGCAAGTGTCCTTTATTCTTGGGAAAAATGCCAATCGTCAGGGAATCCAGCTTTCGGGCCGAAATTCACCTCGGAAACGCCAAAGACAAAATTCAAGACGTCTTCCATCCTCTAATAGTTGTAATTATTTTTTTTTATGTATATATGCATATATGTAAAATGCCGACATTCGCTCCCCCACACATTTCTTGGGGGGTGACACAGGCTAAGATGTATATAAATAGTAATTTATGGGGGAATAAAATGTATACGTCTTTCTATATGTAGTACATGAGGGTAATTACCTCGAGGATGTCGGCGATAATTAAAGTGATTAAGGGACGAGGCATGTTTTCCAAGATAGGGTAGGACGGACTCTGATTAATGGCGATTGATTTTATTGCCGTTCTACCTGATCACTACGGATGTGTCATGGGGCACCATGCCTAGGACGGCACTGACCTACGGTCATTTCTAAGGGAAGACAATGGGGGAGGGAAGAGAACAATTAGTAGCCGTGTTAAGGTGTCTCACACACGAGCAGGTGAAAGCGAGGAAGAGACAGAGCAAAAAGGGAGGGAGAGAGAAAGGGTGGCCACGAGTGATTTATTAAAATAATTTAATTAATTCATTAAACGGCGGGGTTAAAACCAATATCTCGTCTAATGGGAAGAGAAAGGAGATTCATGCCAGATATATCTGCGCAGATTGATCGTCACAAAGTATGGCCACTTGGGGAAATCATACAAGCCAAAGCCAAGGGTGCGGAAATTCTGTCGTCTTCGTCACTCGGTAATTGCGGAATTCTCACTCGGATGCGATTAAAGGATCCAATTCGGCGCCATTTTTCCCCGCGACCACCACCCCCCTTCCGGGGGAAACGGATCGTTAAGGGGATGCGAAAGGTCAATTGTTCATGAAACTTTTCCTCAAACTGGGGATACCGAATCGTTTCAAGCTTCACAACGTAGAGGCCTTAAGGTAGATCTTGAAGCTCATGAAATTTCATTTTTTAGGAAATAATTTCGAAAACATCTGTAAACAAATTGTATTTTTTCAAGCTTCACAACCTAGAGGCCCTAAAATACATCTTGAAGCTCACTAAATTTCATTTTTTAGGAAATAATTTCGAAAACATATGTAAACAAATTTCTTTTCAAGCTTCACAGCGTAGAAGTCCTAAGGTAGGTCTTGAAGTTCATGAAATGAGATTTTTTAGAAAAAAAAAAAAAATAAATAAATAAATAAATAAAGCATCTACGAAATATTGTTTAAATTGAAATGTTATGGGTTTCAGGACCTTCTTCATGGCTTCCATATCGACATTGTCAGGTTTCGGTGCACCAAGTTCGGAGAGAGGTTTGATAAACGAGCCACTTTCCCATCGCCTTAATGGATGCCGAAAGATCGAAGAGGAGTGATCTACCACCGGGAAAACCGAGAATCGCGTTGATCTCCGCTCGACCCTCTTTTTCCGGGGTGTCCCCCGAAATTCGAGGACCCCCCCTTTTCCCCCCGCCATAAATCGCCGGTTTATCGGCGATCATTTTCGACTTGGCTCGCTCCAGGCCTCTTCCTTCCTCGTGCCAGATCTTGATCCGAATTCCATCCGGAAAAGTGGGCCCCGGGTTCAATTGCCGTAGAAAATTCGATTTTCACTCAGGGTGGCCTGCCTCTTTCCCCCTTGGGATTTTCCGGCACGTCGGGCGAAGATCAACGCTTCTCGAAGGGGTCGATCAAAGCTCGATCAAAAAACGATCCAAAGCCTGATAAGAACCCTTTCGGCTCGAAATAGGGAAAAAAGAGAGGCGACCTATCGACCCAACTAAAATTGTTTACCCATCAATCATCGATATATCCTGGATATATCAATACACGTGGTGCACTGGGAGACATCAATGCCCTCCCAATCTGCACAGGCGATGTCGCATCTGCAGGGGAGGCATTCATGATTGTCACTGTACATACCTATATTCTCTCCTATATACAGATGTTGCTATGTGTACATATATGTATGTACGAATGAAATTATATATAAGAATAGAATAAACAATGATAAGAACCCTATCAGCTCGAAAGAGGGAAAAAAGAGACGCGACGTATGGACCCAACTAAAATTGTTTACCCATCAACTATCGACATATCCTGGATATATCGATACCAGTGCACACTATATCCTCCCCTATACGCGGATGTTGGTACGTGTACATGTATGTACGTACGAATGAAACCGAAGAAAGCGATCTTTCGTCCTTTCGACAAAAAGCGGACAAAGTGAAGCTCGCCATAGAGGTGAAAAGATAGGCTAAGAAAAAAAAAAGAAAAAAATAGTCTGGATAACATCCTGCCGTCGTCTCGCAAACTTGGATCCAGATTAATATCGATGGAAAAAAAAAAAAGGGAAGGGAGGTAATTAAAAAATAATTGGAAAATAAATAAGGCTCGAACCCGCGCCCCGGCGAATCCTTTCGGGACGAAATTCAGGAGGGACCGCGAATTGATAAAAAATCCTACAAAGTTTATAGACGGACCGGCAATTTTTTCATAAAAAGTCCTAAGCGCGGCCGCAAGTATAGTGATAAGGCATAGGGCACAGAGAGAGGCCAATGTCGATAAGAATCCGCGATGCGATCAGAGAAAGAGAGACAGAGGGGGACGAGTGCAGAATAGACATACATCCTAGGGTCGTCCTTATCGGGTACCTGCTCGCAAGATATCGACCTATTATCATTTTCCTTTTTCTTCATTTTCTTCAGTGATAAGACGCGGACCGATCGATTAATCGGTCCCCGTGGCGGACTCTCCCCAGTAATCATTCGTTAATTGGGAATAATTGATTAAATGACAGAAAGTGTCAAATTGCAAATAACGAGGGTGCCGTTTTATCAGAGCAGTCCTTATCAGAGGATAAGGGAAAAAAAAACTCCTCCCGGAAAGAGTCCGCCAAAGTCCTCTATGATAATGAAACGGAAGCTGGCAGGTGTCTGAAGCTGGTACCGGGGTGATAACAATTATATATATAATAATTATATATACAGATCCCTAAACCTCGACATGCCACCGACTCGATAATCGATCCCGCCGGATTGGTATCGATTAATTAAATAGTCATCGATTAATAAAAGTCAGCGTACGACACTCTTAATTGGGCCGCCGACGTACCGATGTCGAAAGCTCGATGAGAGAAAGAGAGACTGAGCGAAAGAAAGAGATAAAGGGTGAAAGAGAGAGAGAAAAGAGATAGAGAGAGATAGAGAGAAAAGCGCCTAACCCCTCGTAATAGGGATTTAAAAAAAAAATAATAGAAGAAAGAGAGAGAGAGAGAGAGGACAGTACAACGATACCGATCGACGAGGCCGATTCAAATCGATCGATTCGATCGACTAGTCCGGGCGATCCGATCCTGCATCTCGGTTGCAGAATCGATTTCTTATTTTCTTTCTTTTTTTTTTTTTTGTTCCTCTGTCTTAAATATACATCACGTATAGAGGTTAAACTAAAAAAAGTCTTCGGTGGAAACGGCGGCCTGCGGATCGTATTTCCCTTTATCTTCGTCTTTAGACATTTCCCCTGGTCTCAAAGTCAGTGAATTAAAATGACGAATGAATTCGATTGATATGACATATATAAATTCATTATGTGATGATTGATATATTTTTTTTATTTTTTTTAGAAGAAAGCACCCTTCTTGGATCCGAGGGACGCCATTCCCGTTTCCGCCGTCTGGGCGATATGGCCCTAGAGAAGATTTCCATTTTACAAACTACTTCCCCGATCGCGTTTACAGGGCGAGCCTAGTTTAATGCATGGACGCGAGGTAAATCTGGCGCTCGATATTAATCAATGGGGTTTTGCACACGGGATATATGTTACATACGTCGACGGCAGCCGTGCATACACCATGCATCACCATTCAAAGGAGGCAATCGGCGTCTCGCGAGGATCTCTGGTGGTCGGCACGATTTTTAAATTAAGGGAATGTGAAAGTTTCAGGACCTTCCTTATAGTCTCCCTATTCACGTTGCAACGTTTAACGTTAAACTTGAAATTTCATTTTTTTAAAACCATTTTTATAATATTTATAAAGAAATTTGCAAAGAATTGAAATTTCATGAGTTTCAGGACCTTCCTTATAGTCTCCCTATTCACGTTGTAAAATGTCAAACAATTCGGTAAACCGATTTTGGAGAAAAGTTTTATAAACAAAGCCTCTTCGACGCCACTTTCACATCACCTTAAACCGCCTAATTAATATCCCCCCAGGCCCATAAACCCCCCCTAGAAGGTCTCCCCCGACGTCTCCTCGTCGAGACCACCAGAGTACAACTGACCCGGAACCTTCGACGTTAAATCGTCCCCGGGGGGAAAGACTCCACGAGAAGGACGAGACGCGCCTCCCCTACATCTCTAGATCCTTCCGTCCCCCCAGGAAGGTATCCCCTGAGAAATCGTCCCACCAGGAACCTCCAAAGGACGTCCAAGCCCACCCCTAGAGACCCTAGGTCGTCTTCCCCAAGGAGAAGAATCCCGGGGAAATGCGTGACATCCTTCTCGCGTATCCGGGGAATTCGGGTCCCCGAAGGACTCGACCATCTCCTGGGAAGGAAGGGTGATATTAAAAAATTCCACACATTGGACCCGCTTTGCACCAGGTCGGCCGAGGACGCTCCCTGTTACCGCCTCCAGGAGACGGGGCGAGTCCTTCGGGGGAACTGCCGACGCAGGGGGTGGACACTTGGTCGGGGAACTCGGAGATGTAGTGCAAGGTTCGCTTACCAGACCGACGAGTAGAAAAAATACCAGGAATGTGCGGCCGAGTACCGTCTGGCAGAACACGTCGCCATATCCTACCGTCGACATGGTCACAATCAGGAAGTAGACGCACGTCCAGTACGAGAGCTGTTGCGGGTTCGTGAATTCGAAAGGGTCCCCTGAGTTCTCAAGCTGGAACAAAAGACGAGCTCGGTTGAGAAGAGTAATCAGAGTTTAAACCTCTGAACACGGAGCCACTTCGACATACGGGCGAAATTCCCCTGACCGTGCAGGGGATATTCGACCAAACGTCGGGCCGCCCTTATGCGCTCTTAGTACCCGAAGGGTTAAACTAATATATGTGCGAAAAAGAAGAAACACCTCGAAATCCAGATTTAACTGAGCTATTCCATCTACACTATGAAAATAAAAATCCGTTTAACCGAAGAAATATATTATTTAACTTTTTGGCTACTAAGAATGCATAGAGGCGTCCGACGTTCGGTCGAATATCCCCTGCACGGTCAGAGGAATCTCGCCCGTATGTCAAGGTGGCTCCGTGTCCAAAGGGTTAATTATCGAGATTTCAGTGAATAAAATGGAAATTCTACTAAGACTCACCAAATGAATGATGCCAGCAGCGGTGAGCCAAACGGAGATGAAGATGGAGACGAGTTGGGCGAGTCTGATGGAGCTCGATGTCTTTAGAATGTTGAGGTACTGGAGGATGTCGGGGACCGTCATCAGTCGAAGGGCTCGGAGGAACCTCAGTCCGATCCACGTCCGATCGAGATAGATCGAGACGAAAGACGGTGGTATCGTGAAGTAGTCCACGAACGAATACATCTCCAGCATGAACCACAGCTTGTCACTGGCGGCGATAAACTGCGAGCCCAATAAAATAACACGAAAGTCTAATATGCGTAACAAAATTAAAAAAAAAAAAAAAAATATTTACAAAACCTTCCTCCCCCCTAGGTCCACTGAATGATCTAAATCTTTTCTACATATCTCGGAGAAAAACCAAAGAAATATATACATACATATATTTTTTTTTAATTAAATTTCACGGGCAGCACGTTCCTCCTAAGAGCCACCATAACCACGTGTTAAAGATTTAAATAATTTTCCGCACCCGGTCTGGAGAAAAATCCTATAAATATTTACACTTTTTGGTATGTACATATCACATTAAGAACCGGAAGGACCGTTTAAGATAAACAATGGAGCCGATAAAAAAAAATAAGAAAAAACCAAACCTCAGGAGTCTCGCCTCGCTTTTAGAAGTCCTTGTAAAAATTGCAACAAAGGGCTTGTCAAAAATTTCCCCCGCCCGCAAAATTAATCCCTCCCCATTAACTTAACAATTGATCGGTTATACTCACGCGTATAAAAAAGTAGACCATAAAAAATATATTGAAAGCTAAGTCTATCTGCTGAGTAATGTTGTTGCTCCACTTCTGGCAGCGCTCCACCTCCTCGCTGAAACGAAACAGGGGGGTATTAGTCGGTGGGGGGGGTCGATCCAAAGTGTCGGGGCAGTCTACACCGGAGGATTTATTAATATTCAGGGAGAGAGACGGAGGGCCCTCGACGTAATTAAAAACCCGGTCTGGTCCCAAAGGTATACCGCGTAATTAGTCGTGCCTCGGTGATCGGCCTCGTATCGTTGCCTGGAACTTTTTTAACGCCCCCTCCCCCCTTAATTTTCATTTTCAATATTTTTTATTCCTTTTTTTCCCCCGTTCCAGTAATAACGCGCTCATTAGAGGGATCGTTGTGACGATTGGAATCGCAATCCGGGAAATATCGAGGCACTTTACACCGAGAGTAAACGTGAAGAAAAATTCTTATCGGGACATTTCGGATTAATTAAACGGTATCATGAAGGTGGATTACCTCGAGGCATCGATGAAGTATATTATAAGCGATGCTATACTGAGGATGAAAACCAGCACCACCTGGAAAACAAAAAAACAAACAAACAAAGAAAATCGTTAATCGGAGCACTCTTGGACGGGATTCGGTATCGATGGACTTAGCCATTCGATAGGTCGCAAAAAAAAAAGGCGGAAAATCGAATGAGAAAAATCGACGTAAACGGCGAGGAGGGCGGACTAAACAACGGCGTAAACCCTTAATGCTCGCGTTCGGTGTTATCTAAATCGTGATAGGGTAAACGCCGGTGGAGGTGGCGTGAAGTAAACGCCTGACAACGAATTTCCCGAGGCTCCCGATCGCCGTTTATATCCCCATAACCGGAAGTAGTTTGCATGCCGTGACCGGAAGTGGGGGTCGGTATCCGAACATCGCTTCTTCCGGCGATCTCTAATCGCCGGTGCCTCGGTCGATCGACGCCAAGAATCACCCGACTACGACCCTAAGATCGCAAACATCGTTTACACCGTTTAAAGTGGAACTAATCGTGCCAAGGTTATCGCGGGATATTTATCACGAATCCCTGAATGAATTGCGCCGATAAACCTACGGGGAAATCCCTACCGATTTTCCAAAATCGCGTGTTAACCCTTTGAACGCGGAGCCGTCACGACATAGGGGCGAAATTCGTATGACCGGGCAGGCAACATTCGACCAAACGTCGGGCGCCTTTAGGCGCTCTTACTAGCCCAAAGAGTTAATAGCAATCAGTCCTTAATGAGGGAAATTATTTTCACTGAATTAGACATCTGGTGTTAGTCAACTCACCGCTATTTCACGGTTTATCGAATCGCATTTGTTTATTACGTGAAATTAACCCCTTGAACGCGGAGCCGTCACGACATAGGGGCGAAATTCGTATGACCGTGCAGGGGATATTGGACCAAACGTCGGGCGCCTATAGGCGCTCTTAGCACCCCAAAGGGTTAATCGAGAAGAAGCGAATCTTGGAAAGAGAGAGAGGGAAAAAAAATCGTAAATAAATCTCGGTGTCCTTTTTATCGGGACACGAGGAGGTTTATTCGTCGAGTAGACCTCGGGGGTCCGTAAAATGTCAATCGATACTCGGTACACCGGGAGTCCGCAGGCCAGGAGGGCACACCCTTACGAGCGCACCCCTCCGATATAAAATTACCTTCTGATAATAAAAATGGAAGGAAAAAAAAAAGGAAAAGGGAAAAACCTTGCAAAAATGCAGGATAATTCCCGTACGCGGTGCGCGTTATCGCTAACCCTACGACTGGTTGTTCATTAGCGCAAGGCCCCTGCAACAATGCCCAAGAAGGACAAAGGGCATTGTTCCAACGAGTCACTTGAGCGATCCATTACGCAGGGAACAATAAAACGCTTTACACAGTAGCCTGGCTCTCTCTCGTCGACCACCACCAGTCATCGGCGACAAAACCCGGGGACGTATCCCTAATGATGATAACGATAATCCATGACGATCCACCCCGTGATAACGCTTGAAAATGTTCCTTACCCCGAGACAAGACATTAATTGTCAATACGTTAAAGCAATTATCGATACTTTAATTATTTCCCTCGCCCCGAATTACATTTTCGGAATTTAAAGAAAAAGCAGTAAATTTTTTTTTTTCGGTCTGATAACGCTTGATAATTTTCCTTGAATTTTTTTTTCCACTCCGATAACGCTTGATAATTTTCCTTGCATTTTTTTTTTTTCAGTCCGATAACGCTTAGGTACGTTAATTATGTCCCTCGCCCTGAATTAAATTATCGCAATTAATATTACTATATCTCGACATTTCACATTTTCACATTTCCACGTGGAAAATAAAATCCCGGGGACATATCGTATATTCCGTACAAGTACCCCTCGCACCTGCCCGTAATCCCGGGTACGTGACGCGCGTTCATCGCCGCAAGCGGGAATAATTCCGCGGTACGGCGAGGACCGGCCGATCCGCGACGGAAGGAATAAAACCGCTTAACGTCCGCGTTGATTACGCGGAAACACGCGTAAACGTGTCGCGTCGGCGATAACGAGCCCTCGTAAACCCTCCCCCGCGCTTGCGGAAATTCCGGACGTTTCGTCCGCGGTTTCTCCTTCCCTTTTGTTCCCCGATTTTTTCCGGGATTTTCCTACCGAGGGAGAAAAATCGAGCGCGCCATCCGAAAGTCCTCGCGGGCTCCTCCGTGACAATAGACCTTCCGTCTCGGCTCCCGGGGTGGAGGCGCCCTAACCTTAAAGCCGCGATATGCGTGCGCGGCCCGTCGCGGATCGATAGGAGGCGCACTTCTCCAACACACGTTCCCAATGAGAGTATGCGGAAAGCAAAGCGGAAAGAGCAAGGTCCGAGGATACGTAAAAGGAAGGGACGCGGTCAACTGCAAACCGTTTCTATTATTTTTTTTTTTTTTTTATTCCACGACGCGTCGATAATTTGTTTCTCCCACCTCGGTGGGGACGACGAAAGTGATGATAAAAAGTGATATGATATGAAATTCATGATTCCTTATATCAAGACGAACCAACGTCGCCATCTGTGACGTTTAGCTGCAACTAAAGCTTTCCTCTAAAAACACGTGTACTAAACCACGTGTGAACTTTGCGAATACCTTTAACCCTCTGGACAAGAAGCCATTCCGACATACGGGCGAGATTCCTCTGACCGTGCAGGCGATATTGGACCAAACGTCGGGCGCTCTTAGTAGTGAAAAAGTGAAACGCGGGTTTTCGTGAAAACTCCAAGGAAAGGGTAAGGGAGGAAAGATCCAGGGTGTCGTAAGTAATGCATCTACGTAAAATGGATGCACGCGCCACCCGGCATACCGGACGGGGTATATTCTTGGCCGGACGCGTTGGTCTCATGAAAATGATACTATAAATACGGATGCAAAAATAGCCGGCACTCGCTCGGAGAGAGGGAGACGGACCGAGGGTCGAAGGCACGGGAGAGAGAAGGAAGCCGATAGACCCGGAGGGAGAGACAGAGGGAGACCCGGGTCGGTGGAATCGGGAGAAAGGGAGCAAAATGCGAAAATGATAAAGACACCCCGTTAAAGGAGAAAGAATATTTTCGAGAATTTCTGCGTAATTGTAATTGTTATAATATCCTATTAGAAAGGCCGGGAGCGGCATTCCCGCCGCGTTTCGGCCGCGATGGCCAATGTCGGGTCAGAGGGCGAACCCTGGCCGAGGTAACGTCCTCGAAGATCGTCCGAGGGAACGGCGCCAATAAACGCTTTACGACGCGGTCGAGAATTCTCGGCCGTCGCGACGCCCCGGAAGAGACGCACCGCGTCGCGTTGCGTTTTATCTACCGCGAGTACGAACTGAAGTGGGAAAATTCTGGGTTTAACTGTATAAAAGTCCTACCCTTAAGAAGTGCCCTTTGGAAATTAATTGATATAACGTACATTGCAAATTAATTCCAATAATTATCCATACGTATTACAGTACTTCAAAGCATAACCCCCGACAAAAATGTTGCAAAACTTGAAATCGAAAAATGCACGTAGCAAAAAAAGTTTCGATTTTTCCTACCCCAACAATACCCTTCAAAAAATTAATTCATGACGTACATTGCAAATTGATCCTATTAATTAATCCATACGTACTACATAAATTCAAGGCCCCCGAGAAAAATATGTTGCAAAACTTGAAATAAAAAAATCCACGTAGCAAAAAAGTTTCGATTTTTCCTACCCCAACAATGCCCTTCAAAAAATTAATTCATGACGTACATTGCAAATTGATCCTATTAATTAATCCATACGTACTACATAAATTCAAGGCCCCCGACAAAAATGTTGCAAAACTTGAAATAAAAAAAAAGCACGTAGCAAAAAAAGTTTCGATTTTTCCTACCCCAACAATGCCCTTCAAAAAATTCATAACGTACATTGCAAATTGATCCTATTAATTACTCCATACATATTACCTTAATTCAAGGCATATACCCCGAGAAAAATGTTGCAAAACTTGAAATAAAAAAAATGCACGTCGCGAAACAAGTTTGGATTTTTTCCCTCTACCCAGAAGTTAAAAAATGGTTCTAATTTTTTCCTTTCTCCCCATCCCTCGGATAATTCAACGAGACCGTCTCATTACGGAAGGTCGGTCCTTTCGAAATTGACGACGTCGTAAAAAAAGGGGGAATCGATCGGTTTTACGGCCGAGCTTTTATTATTGTTTGCGTCGAGTGGACACGCGACGGGGCCAAGAAAAGCTCGACCGAGAGACGGAGATAAAGTTAGATTGACGAGGAGAACGGACGGATAGACAGGAGAAAGAGGAAGAGCCGCAAAAATAGCGAGGGCTTTTTCTCAAGATCGGCCACTCGGAAAGGCGGCGATTTTCATCGGTAACGAAATACGAGGCGATGAGATTTCCGCACGCGGAACGCGTATCCAACGGCTGCGTTGGATGACAAACTGTCCTTTTCGCCGGTATAAACGTTAAAATGGACATTAACGATCCCCGTTAACGCGACATTTATCAATTTTAGCGGAACTTGGCCCGTCGAGAAAATCGAGCGGTCGGTTATCGCATAACGTGGATCGGGCACTAAGGCTTCCCGGGGGAAAAAAAAAAGAGAGAAGAAGAAATTGAGTCATCAAGAAGCCAAGAAGCACGCGAAGAAGCCCGGAGGATTATCCGCAAAAACCCTTAAAAGCTGTCCGCAAAAGATCCTCAGGTGACGAGAGAACGCGCCGAGGATTTATCTCTCTTCCCCCCACGTCAAGGTACCACCTAACAAGACAATTGTTAATACGATTATTAACAGTTTATAAAACCGAGTTTATCTAGAAAATCCAAAATGGCGGGTGGCCCTTGACGTCCCCAATTTTTTTCAGATTTTTCCGAGCCACGCTTTTCCTTCGAGTCTTCCAGCGGAGGAGGTGAAATGATTTCCCGGTGAAAATTCCCGACCCAATTTTCCTTTTTTCACAGTTTTCAGAATTTTCGGAGGGTGTAACGAGGACGGGGGGGATATATTTTCGAGATGAGGAGATCGAGGAAACTCGAAAGAAAAACCGGGGGGATACGTCGAAG